GTTTGTCTGAACAGGACCTCCTTGGGGCTCCTAGTATGGCGGCTGATCATGGCCATTCCGCATGGTTGAACTCAACATGCTTCAAAACCCAGGAAGTATGGGAACATGTGGGTTTGTATGCGGTAGGGTGTCCACATTATGCAGAGGTGGCATGTTCGAATTAGGCGAAGCATACACCCAAAACATACCCTTTGCGTGAGTCTTCACACCGAATACAGCATACCTCTGAAACATACCTTCGAAAGATCTCCCATATACACATATACACCCTGATGTTGGATCCACTATGACTTGAACTTGTTGTTGGTAACGTTAACGCGTGTTTAATTTGTGGACGACTTTTGAGCAGGGTTGAAGTTTAACATAAATACTGAACATCCTCTAATGTAGGCCATTACCTGCCATTCGTGCAGCACATGTCCGAACACCGAGGGCTTATGAGAGCTTGCACCTTCTCTTTTCTTTGGTTGACGTATAATCTATGGGATTTTACTGGACGGAGCAGGTGCGTCTGCGCGCACATCTCGCACGCGCTTCCATGCGCTGGAAGCTCGCTTTCCGGCTCGTTGTTCCGAGGCGATTTGGCCGGCTCGGAGAGGTTGAAGAAATCGGAGGCCGGATGAGGCAGGTTCGAATGGCAAAGAGAGGTGTGCAAAACAGTTGAGAGACACCACCTGATAGTGATATAAAACGAATACAGTGAAGACATAAGAAACATTAAGAAACCCATGCCAGAGTTTTTTCTCAATGGTTTCTTGCCTGGTGGATCCAAGTGTTCAAACCAGAGCGTCTCAGGGTTGCGCGACTCGTTGACCTGGTTTTGCCGTCTAAAATGCTCCAATGGTGGTTGGAACCCTGATGTATATTGTCCTATATTGATCGGTACTGTATATATATATATAATATATGATCTATCCCTCTATCAGACTCCAGTTGTCAGACGTTCGCGCCCGGGGGTGTTGACCGCCACCGTGTGGGCAGGTGACGGAGCATCAACAGACTGAGGCCATTGCAATCAACAAGTTGGGAGGGCTCAAGACGCTGAGGGGTGGGAGGACGTGGGTCGGACGGGACTCCAATCGAGGTGTTTTGTTTGTGTTTTTCAAGCGAGGGAAATCAAGGAAGACGGGTGAGGAAGGGGGAAATAGATGAAACTTGCAACATTGTGTTTTAAGGAACACTTGTTGGACCAAGACTGCCAATCTTAATGACTTCTGTTGAGGCTCATTTGGTGAAGAAGCATATGTTTTGTGAGTTTGTATGCAGCATAGGAGCCGGAGCTTTGTTTCCTTGCCTTTCCCACAAGTCATCTAAAAAGGTTGCAGCAGGCTTCCGTTCTTCGAACTGTTTTTGACTCCACTCTACTACTGTAGCACCTGAGAACGTTTCGGGCTATCTGTTCACTTGATCGGTTTTTCGGTCGCTGGTGATGGGCTCCCACATCGACCAGTTGATCAAAGTATCTGGACTTGGACCCGACCAGAAACCCAGAGAGGTTGAGAGACCTGAACTAGGACCAGGACCCTGCAATGGTAAATATGGGATGGACGCAAAAGGGTTCAACCTTTTGGTAGGTGGTTGATGGTGCTTCGTAGGGCTCCTCTCTGTTCCACATCACCACATTATCCTCAGGCAGGTTCGGTGGTTAGACCCCCCATGGCACGCACCCACCGACCCCAACCACCTTGAGTTGAGCCAGGTCGCTGGCGTCACCCGGTTCCGCCGCTGAGGTCGTTGACCGCTCTGGGCGATGTGATCGAGGTGGACTCCTCGCAGTTCGGCGGGTGATGCAACACAATGGTCAGGACATCATATTATGGGTGTGTATTTTGAATAGGCAGACCCTTTGGCCCAAGGGGTAGACCAGTTGACATGTCCTCGAAATGGGTGGCCTCCTAGTGACTGACACAACCCCTCCTAGTGAATGTTGATGGGGATATTTTGAATAGGTGGACCCTTTGGCCCCCTTGGGGTAGACCGGTCGATTTTCCCTCTTGCAGCTGTTTGTGGCTGTTGACCTTGGGGTTGACCTCGGGTCAAACACCGTTGACCGGCTTCATACTTCTTGGGATCCAACTGTTCTCCCATCGAAGCAAGGGAAGAGTGCCAGGATGTGGAAGGTGTCATTATATGTTCCCAGTGGAGTCTAATTGGAATCATGTGCTTCGTGATATGTTGATCAATACTCTCAGTACGGTTGGTTCCACCTGTACACACATGGTTTTCACACCCCTTGCCTCCGAACCCTTTCCGTGGCTTTCCCATGTTGAAATGTGTTTTCAAGATAGGTCCTCTCGCGGAGAGTTTCCACTAGGTGTCCATTCAACCACATCCAAGAAAGACAGGGTCTGGACCCTTCAAGCACAAACATCCCCAGCTGCCGGACTGACAGATGTTCTCATCGACCCAGGTCCCCGAGCTTCGGGGTCGATCCGATCGACCCGACCAGGCCCTCACGAAGGGAGGGAAAGGCGTGGTCCCCTACAGGCCCGGTGATCCGCCCAGTTGTTCCAGGGGATGCAGCTGGTTGGGGTCGTTGTGGGCGCATTTGTATCAGAGTTGAATTGACATAAAGGTTGAAAGGCATGTACTGAACCAAACTCTGTACTGACCGCAAGGACAGGAGTACCTACTTCGTTTCGGGGAAAACGACGCCGTAACGGAAGATGGTGCCCTCATCAGTGAAAATGGCTGAAGACAGTGACAAACGACTGGGCCATGAGTAAACCCCCGTATGGAGATGGACAAATTTCAGGGCCATCAATCAAAAATCAACATGATCAGACTGGGCTTGACCTGGAGACGCCTGAATCCGGTTTTTAGATCGGCTATGCCAACAAAATGCAGCCATGGCTGGATGACCCAAAGTGCTGAATATGATGGCTTCTACCTCAAGCTTGATCAAGAAGACAAAAGTCATTCAAATCAATTCTGTTTGGCGTTTCTTTGGCTTTCTGATGCTTGCTGAGAAATCAAATCAAAGTCTGGAGAAAGCAACAATGGCCACGACTCTTGCTTCACGAAGCGATTTAGAACAGCCCTGGGGCCCGTGGGAAAAGCATAAGATGGGGTCTATACATTTATCTCCTTGCATGGCAAAACCATGCGAAGCCTACATTGAACTCAGGACATGTCTCACTCCAATGCGAACTAATCATCTCTTTCGAAAAAAGAAACTGTGTGCACAGGCGAAAGACAGAGACGGATAGATCATGCGACGGGCCCAAAAAACCCGAATCTCAGTGGATCATATCGCGCAGTGTATAGGTTCATCAGATTCAATCAAGTTGTGTCTAAGAATCTATCACCTGAGATGCGAAACCTTTAGCAGCTACGGACGTGTTGTGAATATTTAAAAGTAACAAACTGGAGCCGTGTCCGCCTATTGACCAGCGGAATCGCACTTGTCCATCCCAGATGACACAGATGCGCCAAAACGGTCTTAGAAGAAACGGAAGAAAGTCTGAACTCTTCCTTTCAGCGAGTTCGGTCACTGTCTGTGAGTGTTGGTTGAAGTTGGTTTCGACACGAATTGCCATCGTGTCTTCCAAGAATCCCAGATGCAAAAAGGACGGACTTTCTGTTCACTAAGCATATTTTCATCCCCATGCCGGTGGAGTTGTTCCCCGGTTCCACATGCTGCACATGGAACGTCTGGAACCTCATCACTCAGATGGCCGGCCTTCCCCTCGGTTCGGCCGGCCTAACCGGTGACCCGACCCAGGTCACCGGCGTCGTGGTTCGGAGGAGAAACGCCATGCACGGGTAGAGGGGTCACTGTTGGCTGAGCCGTTTGCCCTGGACATCCCGGTTCCACGAGAGTCTGCCTCGATCTGCCGAGCCTCAATCAATCCGACTGGGCCTGGATGCAGCTGTAGATCCCTTCATGGTGAGCTTATGTTCGAGACGTCACGACCTCACGCGCCAGGAATCACAAGCTCACCATGCTCATGCAGGATTCCTTAGGTGGTACTGCAGCTTGCTGGCAATGGGGGAAGGATTTTTTTTAAACTGGAGCACGGGAACGGGAACAGATTGAGAAGAGGAGGATGCCTTCCAACAGAGTTTCCATCTCTGGAAGTCATTTAAACAGAAGGTGCAGAAGTCCCTCAATATGTGACTCTGATTGATTTCCAGAGTCTTGGAAGTACACCCGAGGATAAACAGAACAGTGATTATTCCTAGTTTGTTTACGAGTTTGAAAAGGAACAGGATCAAAAACAGAGCTTTCCCAGAGCCCCACTTCGGACAGTCACTGTCAGATCCACCAATAACCTCAAGAACGTCGCGGCGGACCCAGAACCGACCGCCAGGCCGAGCTTCAAGCGGCCTCGCAACTTGTGTACGGCCCTCGCTTCGCGCATCGAGGCAAAGACACTGATGTTCGTGAACTGTTCACCCGCCAGCTCAAACTTAGATGAGACCTTCATGCCCGAAGCCTCAGCTTCAGTCGATGATACTCTTGGGTGGTGGGTCCAGCCATGAGGATCGATTCGGCCGAGCGTTGATCTTCGGGTCGCTCCCCAGGGTTCCGTGAGTTCCAAGCGTGCAAATGGTTGATGCAAAAGGAAACCCCATAAACGAATAGACATGCGTGAAAACCGGTGACCCAAGCGTGCCAACCCAGTTTACGGGCAACTATTCCAGTCCCGTAGATGGTGCGGGATAGTCATAATATGTCATAATGAGTCATAATCAATCAAGTGTGCCATCCAGTACTGGAGTATTCATAGGGTTTGTCCAAAACTCAGTATAGCCGTCGGTAAGAGATTCTCATGTTGAAAGGCCTGCAACCCAACCATCATCATCCACGAATTTGATATTGTTATACCCAAGATATTGACATGATGCAATTCGTGGGAAAGGTTGCCACTTGAGCAGTGTACGAATCAGGAGGATTTTGCGTCGTCAACTGGGTGAAGTTGTGGTCAGATCATGTCAGATCGTCATCCAAGTTGTCTTAGATTAGGATCCGCATTTTTGCAATGACCATACCAAAGGCTTTGATCACCACCACATCAACCACATCACCTTGGAGCGTCCCGTCCCGTTGGAGCGGAACTCAGGTCCCTGAAGTATGCGCAGCGGGCGAAGAAGATCACCAATACCGCCACCAAGAAGTAGCTTCACCGCGGTTCGCGAAGGGCGCGTAGCGAACCGCGCGAAGCGAACTACGTAAGCTTTCGGGGAGGACGTGCACGCGCACTCGGAATTGCTAGGAGTCGAGCCCATCCTAGGCATCCGGGAGAGGTCCAAGAAGCTGAATGCTTTGAAAACACCAGTTGATTTACTCGGGATGGGACAGCAAATAGTGTGGGACTTGGGGGAACGGGAACAAATACAGGATTTTGGTGTGGACAGTTTGGCTCGTTCGCATTGACCATGAGTTCCTGGCACCTAAGAGCAACCAGCTGAGATGATGAATGTTGTTTGTTTCGACCCATGACATGTTCATGTTGGATGATGTGATCGTTGGCCAGGGAGTCCAGCTCTGCCCCAAGTTGGTCTCTATGTGATGAAACCTTCAGATCATATTACGGCTGATGACTCTGTTAAGAAAGACGCTTTTTTAGAGTAGACTCTAGATTATTTCTTAATTATAACCTATTAATCAAGAAATGTGGCTAGCAGGTAGACTCTAAATGAGGTTTCTTATTCTATTTTCTCCCTGTCAACCCTTCTTAGACCATGAAATCGCTCTCCCTCGAGCTCTAAATCGCTCAACCGCATCGCTATGCGCATGGTCTTGACTTCTTCGACCCGTATCCCCGGATGTTGTATAATGTTCTATCATGGTATAATGCTCAAGAATCTGAGATGAGGGGAGGGAGGGAGGGAGGGAGGCTCAAAGTTGAAGGCTGCGATGGGACTTCTAAAGGGTTTCAGACCAGTTTCAGACCACCCGAGAGGACAGGTTGGGGACAGATTTTTTGAAACAGATTTAAGCAAACTGAAGCTTATGCTCTACGTACGTATTATGGAAAGGGGTCATAGATGATGTCAAGTTTGTCATTTTACACCTGCACCCTGGAAATCCAAGGGTCATTGTCTAAAAGCGGATGTTTGATCGCAAGATTAAACAATGCGGCCCTTGTGCTGCGTCATTCCATGTGGGGTCTGTAAGTGAGATACATACGTCAGGATAATGAAGGCTCGCTTTTTAATTCGGTACCATTATGGTCGTAATTCGGTGCGTCCAATAGTACCCAATTGCGGCCGTAGTGGTACCTAATTAAAAACTCCTCTTCATGCATCCACTCCATGTTCTCGAACAACTTCCGATGACCATCAGTGACCATATCACTTGTGCAGCTCCACATGCGTTTTGTGCTGACGGTTCGGAACTTCAGGTTTTTGAACCAAAAATGTAAGTTCTGAACCTTTTTGGAAGCAAAGTGGAACCACGGATGTTGTATAAAGTTCTATGGTACAATGCTCAAGAATCTGAGATGAGGGGAGGGAGGGAGGGAGGGAGGGAGGCTCAAAGTTGAAGGCTGCGATGGGACTTCTAAAGGGTTTCAGACTAGTTTCAGACCACCCGAGAGGACAGGTTGGGGACAGTCTTTTTGAAACAGATTTAAGCAAACCTGAAGCTTTTGCTCTACGTACGTATCATGGAAAGGGGTCATAGATGATGTCAAGTTTGTCATTAAGGGGTCGCGCTCTTTCTTTTTCTCTCTCTCTCTCTCTTTCTTTCTCTTTGTGGCAAGGCCATTTAAATTAGAACTTAATACGTATTTAAAAGAGAACGTGTTTTTTTGACAAAAATAGAGTCTAGAAATAATTCATTTTTCCGAAAAAATAGAGTCTACTTTCTTGTTTAAGAATATTTCTTAACACAGATAGAAGCCGTACTGTAAGCCTTAAGGTCGGCCATGTTCTGGACGGGGTTCTGCTTCAATCTATCAGTCTGCACGAGTCTGCACCAGTGGATGTGGCTAACTGGCCTCCATGCTTAGCATGCTGTTTAGTAGCGTCCTTGCTACTATATAGTAGTAATGCCCTTGTTTTAGTAGTTTCTTGTTACTAGTAGTGATGGCTTCCCTACTTGCGATGGCCTCCACCTAATAGCGTCCGAAGGCTGTGGCTTCAATTGTTACTAGGCCAATAAGCGAACCACGCTTCGGATCTCCACGAACCGTGCGACGTGACGTCCTGCACCCGCCTCAGGTAGTCGTCGGCACATCGAAGCTGTGTCGAGCTCGACGGGGCACCAGCGAAGACGCCCACTTGGCCATGAAATGATGGGATGAGACTGCAGATGACTGCATTGCATGTCGAAATGAAGCAGCAAACTTCCTGGCCAAGAATCCAAGTTCCGCTCTCTTTCGCTGGTGTTCTGTATTCTTGAACTTCCCAAGACGCGGCCCGCCAAAAACCTTGGCGAGGGTCCAAACATCTATATTATCATGGTGAGGTTGGCCAGGGGCCTGGGGTGAATCCAGTTTTATCATGTTTTATCCACGTTTGCAAATCCACTCCATGGATTAGCCGTTTGTATCCATTTGTCACATCATGGTTTTTAGGGAGAAGCTAGACAGAGCTAGTAATGCTTGCTTCAAGCCCTAACTGTAGGCTGGAGACTGGCCAAGGAAGTATCTTCATGGAGTATATAGCTAGAAGGTACTCTCGGAGTCATTAAGATGGAAGTGCAAAGCCTCCTGTTTGTAGAGAACACATGTCTTGTCCCACTTCCGTGATTCTTTCAGGGAGTGAATAACGGTCAAGACGTCAGACCCCCAACACATCGCAGGTGACGACTTATTCCCAAGGATAGGAGACGTACGTGTAGCCTTAGCGCGTACTGGTACGTGTAGGGAACCATCGATGGTCGGATGACGTCTGAAGTCGCGTGTCTTGGGGTGCGGAACATAGTACACGACTTGCCCATCTGGGGTTATTGGACTTGCCAATCGCTCCATTCCGCGACGTGGAAGCTGTGATTCGATCCACTTTGATGTACTTTGCCTTATCACAGTGAAGATCAGCCAAGATCAGTGAGGGTATGTTTGGGTGAATGTTCTGCATCAAGTCTACGTTGCATACTGGGCACAGAAGAGCAGGGTGAAACCCTGTCCAAAGGCACGCCTTTTTTGGAGCCTCCACCGCCTGCAGTCTGTCCCCAGAGGGGGTGGAACGCATGGCCGCGGTGGCCGCGAGGCAGCGATGGTGGGTCGATGGTCAGAGTAGCAGCTCTGCAACATACACCTGGGCAGGAGAGACTAGACTCGTAGACACCCGTAAGCTAGGAGGTTTCAATAATCATTCTATCTTTCATCAATGAATAGCTCACGCTTTGAGCCTCTCTGCCTGCCTTTTTGCCTCTCTGCCTGCCTTCTTCTTCTTCCGCAAAAACCGTGCGGAGCCCCGACGCGTCGGAGCCCCGCCCGGAGCAGCGAGGGCGACAATGCAAGACCAAGAAAGGTCGGTTGGGAGCAACCCATGGAGTCAACTGATGCACCTCTCTCAACTTTGGTAAATCAGAAGCTGCCAAATCCGTCAAAGAAGGGTCTCGAGGGTTTGCATGATACCTTTTAGGGTCGCCTAACACATACATACACATACTAATTGTTGGGGTGTCCCATTACCTGTAACAGTCGGTAAACAAGTGTTATCACTATGTTAGAGAAAAGCCTTTACTCACCATCATGATATCATCATCATCATCATCATCATCATCATCATCATCATCATCATCAT